TAGAAACTCAGTACACTCAGCACCTTGGTTACTTTATTTAGCATGGCCCTGCCTCTCACATGTCCTGGTTACTTTAGACCTCCATCCACAGGTTCCTTAAAGGAGGTATGGCTACAACATAAAAAATTAAGTAGAGGTTCTTCCTATTAGTAACTTATGTCCTATACAGATAACCTTAAATCCTGATTCTGGCAGACACAAAAGGCCACACAGTGTATGATTCCACTTATACGAAATATCCGGAGTAGATAGATCCAGAGAGGCAGAAAGCAGATTGATGGTTATTCAGGTGCTTGAGGGAGCAGGGAACAGTTATGACTGCTTAATGGATATGGGATTTTCTTTTCAGGGTGATGAAAAAAGTTTTGAAAGTAGATAGAGGGGGTAGTTGAACAACAATGTATGCGTTAAATATCACTGAATTTTATACTTTAAATGGTTATTTTTAGGTCATGTGAATTTCACCTAAATAAAAAATTTAAAGATTCAAGGGGCTGAACACCCGGAAAAAGGGTGAGAATGATGAGGGGTATTCTCTCAGCTGTTGGTATGTGAAAGCAGAGGAGAAAGTCCGTAATAAGAGAGGCAAAGGTGATATATACCCTGGAAGAGAGGAGAAGAAAGAATAGAAATGGGAATGGGAAGAAAGAACCCAGACAGAAATGGGAAATTCAGTTGCTTACATGGTGCTTACAGGGAACTGAAGGCTATGGGTGGGACTGTACAAACTTAAGCATCTCTCTGTCCCTGAACAAGAGGAAACACAGTATAAATTAAAGCATTGCGTTATCTCTGATCAAAAATAAAAGCTGAAAAGAAAACATGTGTCATTGTAAGAGGCGAAAGTAGAAACAAGTTGAGTAATAAAGACGCTACTCTAATCTCATTGATGGAAGAGACCATGTCTTACTCATCTTAGTATCCCCAGCACCGTGCCAGGCTCAAAAGTTGTTGACCTAAAGATAATGACTCACACTGACGTGGGGGCCTATGTGCCAAGTGCTATTCTTTCTTTTTTAAAAAAAATTTATTTATTTGGCTGCATCGGGTCTTAGTTGCGGAACATGAGCTCTTCACTGCAGCATCTTTCATTGCAGTGGGCTCGGGCTCAGTAGTTGCGTCTTGCGAGCTCTAGAGTGTGTGGGCTTAGTGGCCCCGCAGCATGTGGGATCTTAGTTCGCCGACCAGGGATCGAATCTGCGTCCCCTCCGTTGGAAGGCAGATTCTTAACCACTGGACCAGCATGGAAGTCCCCCAAGTGCTATTCTAAACATCTAATTCATTTGATCTTAAAATAGTCCCCAGGGGCTTCCCTGGTGGCGCAGTGGTTGGGAGTCTGCCTGCCGTTGCAAGGGACACGGGTTCGTGCCCCGGTCTGGGAGGATCCCACATGCCGCTCCGGCTGGGCCCGTGAGCCATGGCCGCTGAGCCTGCGCGTCCGGAGCCTGTGCTCCGCAACGGGAGAGGCCACAACAGTGAGAGGCCCGCGTACCGCGAAAAAAAAAAAAAAAAAATAGTCCCCAGGTTCAAAGACATTGTGCTCTCCTTTTACAGATGAGGAAACTGAGGCACAGAAAGGTTAAGCTCACAATGATGGAGTCAGGATTGGCACCCATGTGGCCTAGCACTGTGTTTGTGCTCTGAAACACTTTCTCAATTTCCTGAAGAAATCAAAGAAACCATGATGAAAAGCTTGACTAAACTAATTCTCCATCCTCCCGAGAAGAGGAAAAACATGACCATCTTTGGCATTTCGCATGTTCTCCCATGTTCTTCTAACCAGATCCATGGCTCACAACTATTGGCTGTGTCCACAAAATTTCAGAGAAGCACAGTTGCTGGGTAGTGCGTGTGGTGTATGAAAGCAAAACGGTCACCTGCAGTCTCTAGATTCCCTTACAAACCTTTAGCAAGCTAGTAGACTACCTCTGATTTCTAAACAAGATGTTATTGAGTTTTTCTTTTGCAACTGAATGAGCATTAACCTAAGCTTTAGAACTTAGTTCAGGCATGGTTCTGCCACACTAAACTTTATCCAGTCAGTGGGGCTCTTCATTTCTCTAAACCTCGTTCCCTGTCTGAAAAATAGGAACAATGATCCCTCTGGTGCCCACCTCACAGGGTCACTCTCAAAATGAAATAATGATGTTTGTTAAAATGAATGAGCAAACAGAACATCTGGCAGAGCAGTAGGCTCCAACATGTGAGGGAACTTTGGCCACAGCAAGGACCGAAGAGTTTAGGTCCGGGAGCTCAAGGCCAGGACATCTCCCGAAGGCTGTTTGTCAAGCTGTACGGGTTTCTGGCCAACCAACTCCACCTTCCGCCAAGTTGTGCTGAAGTTGTTTATGAGTTGCTCTAACCAGCTGCCCCTGTCCCTTTCCTGGATGGTCGGGAAGATGAAGTTTCCTGAGTGGGAAGACAGAATGGCTGTGGTTATGGGAGTTATACCTGACGATGCACGTGTCTCAGTATAACCCCCAAACTGATGATGCACACCTGCCCGAAGTTCAGGTGTGTGCTTCAGGGGAGCAGCCGCGCCCAGAGTCGCATCCCAAAGGCTGAGCTGCATCCCCAAGGCCAGAGGCAAGATCCTTACTTTCCATCACCTGGCTCTGGACTCCCCCAAGAGCTGTGGCACCGTCCTGCCCTCCGGTCCTCTCAAGGGTTGCAAAGTGTCCAGGTGTCTGGGCGAGGCCCAGGGAACACCGCACAGCTCCACCCATCCTGTCTGCTCTCCAAGCGCCAGAGGCCAACCCGCCAGCCGCTGCTACAAAAAGGAACGTGCCCTGCTAAAAGATTTTTGGATACTTAAAAAATTAAATTTAAATTAGGAAGCTCAAAATGTTGAGAAACTAGCATCGGTGGCATTGTACACCCTTAGCAGGCTTCCATACCTCTCCATGCAAAAGCTAATCCACAAGGGTGATCTCACTTTGTCACAAGAGAAAGAAAGGAGAGTCAACCTACTCAAGGACAGTTAGGGAGAAACCAATCGGCTTAACTAGGAAAAAAGTCCCATAGTTTTACTACATAATAGTCTTACAGGCGCCAAACCTTTGAATACATGGTCTTGTTAATCCCCGGAACCACTCATAAGGCAGATGTATCACCACCAATTTACAGTTATAACAGAGGTTATTACCTTAGGACCACACAATGTGGGTGCTACATCAGGACTGGCCCAGAAACCAATATCAGTTCTTTTATATTACTTGAAACAAACAGGATGATACAAATGCACCTGATTTAGGGTCTAGATACCCTGTGTTTAGATGATATAATTTTTAGTTTTTTTTTTTTACATGGCAAGAGAAATTATTCTTGTCCTATGTCATTAGAACACACTGTGATTCTTCTGAATTGTAATTTAATTATTCATAATTAAAGTTAATTATGAATTATTGTACTTATCGATTTATTACACATTGTCAGGTCTTTCGATGCTGGGTAGCTAATGGCAGAGAAAAGAGCATAGTTGTTTAACACAATTAAGTTATAGCTCACCTTCCAACAAACAAACTGGTTTCTCTTAATAGCCAATTAAGGAGCTGCCATGCATGATTTTTATGAACTTTTTTTTTTTTTTTTTTTTTGTGGTCCGCGGGCCTCTCACTGTTGTGGCCTCTCCCGTTGCGGAGCACAGGCTCCGGATGCACAGGCTCAGCGGCCATGGCTCACGGGCCCAGCCGCTCCGCGGCATGTGGGATCTTCCCGGACCGGGATGCAAACCCGTGTCCCCTGCATCGGCAGGCGGAGTCTCAACCACTGCGCCACCAGGGAAGCCCTACATGAACATTTTTGAAGTACTCTTTTGTTTTCACATTGATTTCGATGTTAATATCACACATTTTCATAGGCTGATTTGTATTTATATTACTTTATTTTCCTTCCCCCCTAAATCTCACTCATTTTCAAGAATGAATGAATATATGAGTGTTTTTCTATGCAGTTCTCACTACCCTTCTTTGTAACTCCTTGTGTTTGACCATTTGGGACAGAACAACATATTAGGAAAACATATAACGACACAGTTGACACCTCAATGCCCATCAACCCCTTAAATATAATTCAGGTTATTTTCCATTAAAATATTTCCTTATACTTGCTCAAAGTGCATCTATTACTTTTTAAAAGAGTTGGGGGGAGGTGAGTCTCACAAATGTATGAGATCATTCTGAGTTCAACCCTTATTGATTGGTATGGAACTCCGATAATGTACTCCCCAAAACTACAGAGTACAGATTTATGGCTGGGTAAACACACAGAAGAAAGGAAAAGGGAATGAAAGAGGAAAACACCAGAGACAGAGAAAAGAATTTCAGGACCCCTGGGTTAAGAAAAAGCTAGAATCTTACTGAAAGTGATTGGACAAATTGAAAGAAAAAATAAAACAACCCGTTATCAGCTTTTTTTTTTTTTTTTTGACCCCATAGCATAAAGGGGAACATCTTGTCCTGAAAATCTACCTTCCCCAGGCCAGCCCCTAACCCACATCTACCAGTGAAGTTCAATGACCACTGTTATTGTCCACTCACATATGTTTCAGCAATCATCCTAGAGAAAACATACGTTTCACTACCTTCCCCTTTTGCTAGCTATTTACTTATAATAATTGCAAAAAAAAAAAAAAAAAAAAAAAAAAAAAATCCATAACACATATTTTATTAGTATTCCAGGAAATTCCATTATAATCAACAAATGGAAAGGATTTTATTGTCAATAAGCCCGTGAAACTTAGTTGTCTCATTTTTCCAGATTATGTGGTATGTAGACAGCATGTAGTCTCTTTACCAATAGAAGGGATGGGATAAGACCAGCAGTGTCATATATGATTCCACATGGGAGTCCAAGAATATCTTGGGATTTTCTAGATTTTACATATCAGAGAAAATGCTCTGTTTATGTTATGAGATATATTTATAATTTTAATACACAAATAAGTGAATGATCAAAATTGTTCAAGCTATAGTTTTTGAATACATTCTCATGGTGGATATTTATGCCTCAACCACTATGAAACTCAGACTGTTATTGAAAAGAACCTTTTTCCCTCTTTCTTTACACTAAATTCAGGGTCTTGCAGATCTTTCATAATTTCTGCTTTGAGATCAGGTGGTGCTGTTGTACTAAAGTTGCAGGTTTCTGTCAAAAAATCCCGAAGCAGGTCTTCATTTTCATTGCTGTCAATAAAATAGTCAGATATGTCCATGGTGGACAGAAGGTCATAACACTCATACTTAATCCCCAACTTGTCCAGCATCTGCGTGAGGTCAGATGACGTGATATACTGGTAGAGGTCATCCCGGGGTAAGTGAGATCTGTACTTTTTCCATAGCTTGTCCCAGCCACTGGTTCTGGACACAAGAGTAATGAGAATCTTAGCACTGGTAGCTAAGAGACTATGGAAGAATTTCAGGGTGGCTGGGATATCTTTTACATAATACAGCATCTGAATCATATGAATAAAGTCCCACTTCTGAAGTTCTTTTTTCTCCATCATTCTATTTTGATATTCAGTTGATGTCTCCTTATGCCAAGTAAACTTTATGTTCTCGAGGTTTGATGTCTTGGCTACAAGCTCTTTGTACTTGGTGATTTGTTCAGCACTTGGTTCAACAACTTCATTGTTGATACTAACTCCTGGGTATTGAGCCTGCACTTTGGAGAGGATATGAAGATCAATTTCACCTGCACCTCCACCAATGCTTAGAATCTTAATCTCAGATTTTGTGTCTCCAATCCTTGCTATTATGCCCAGAAGCTTCTCGTCCATGAATTGCTGCATGCACTGATGCTCCATGGAATTGTTGAGAAACCTCCGGAAAGATTCAACATATTTGCTATGGTCAGAAAACAAGCTCTTCATGGAAGATGCCATGTTTGGTTTTCTGAGAAAGACAAGGAGGGAAGGGTGGTCTAACTTCCCTCTTCCCTTCCTTCTCTTCCCAGTTCCTTCTTTCTCTCTTCACCCGCACCAGTTTCTATTCAAAAAAAAAAAAAACACACACACAAAAAAGCCCTGCTTTGAATTTAACGTGCTGGAGAGGCTGGATTTGCAAAGCTCGTTACTAAGTGACTATCAGCTATTTTTAAAACCATTGAGGGTTTGAGGTGAAGTGAAGCTCATTTTGTCAACAGGAAGCTATGGGCTCTGCACCTCTATTTATATAAACAACATTTGCTTTTCCATCTTGGGTTCTGCCCAGAAGTTGTCGTCTGATGCCGCTTCTGGCTCTGGTTGACTGGTTTTTAGAAAAAAAAAACCAAAAACTGGCCACCTGTTCCTCTCTCTACCACAGAGAAAGTCAAGTCACTTTCGCTGGTGTTTGGTTAGTGAAAAATGCTAAAACACACAAGGATTTCAATTTTTTTAAGTTTTTATTTATTTATTTATTTGGGTCTTTGTTGCTACGCGCGGGCTTTCTCTAGTTGTGGTGAGCGGGGGCTACCCTTTGTTGTGGTGCGCGGGCTTCTCATTGCGGTGGCTTCTCTTGTTGCAGAGCACGGGCTCTAGGCGTGCGAGCTTCAGTAGCTGTGGCTCATGAGCTCAGTAGTTGTGGCTCGTGGGCTCTAGAGCGCAGGCTCAGAGCTGTGGTGCACAGGCTTAGTTGCTCTGCGACACGTGGGACCTTCCCAGACCAGGGATAGAACCCATGTTTCCTGCATTGGCAGGCGGATTCTTAACCACTGTGCCACCAGGGAAGTCCGAAAGATTTCAATTTTTATTGGAGTGTTGTATTTTTAACCTAATCTTTGCCTCCCTGAATTTGACTAAACTCTAAGCACAGCCCTGCCCCACCTCCACTGTGCTTCTGTTGTTCATTCTACCCTGTAAGGTTCCAGATGGATCGGTATGGAACTCGGGTCCTCTTCACCACACTTTGCAAATTCCCTTCTCCCAGACGGATTTGTGAATTCCCAGAGCCTCCGGGTTCCCCGCTCTGATGTCAACCCATCATCCCTCTGCCGTCTCCTTATCCCCGTTATCTGGTACCTCCAACTTCTGTTTCTTCTCAGATGTCTCTCTTAACTGTGTTACAGCTGCTTCAGTACAGCAGGAAGGTGAACCTTAAGAGACTGCCAGTTGCTTGCACCTCTGACCAGGTGTAAAGTATTTGGCTAAACATCAGCTTTCACCACGAGTGCTCGAGGCAGAGGAGGGAGGAGCTTGTGGCTGGCAACACGTACTGCTTGAGGTCATCACAAGTGGGGAGACAGCTTGGGGTTTGCACCATCTGAGTCAGATGAGTACTTAGAGAGTGTGCAAGGAGCTCTTTTTAGAGAGTATAGTGCACACTTGAATTTTCAGAACTTCCTCATTCAAGGAGGAAGGAGAATTTTCTTTAATCAGAAGCATGAAATATTGGAAAAGGTTAGGCTCAGAGCAGGATCAACTCAATTTTGGAAGAGAAAATAAGAGTAAAACTTTTTTTTTTAGGTGAGTTGAGTAGGCAGGCGAGTCTCTTCAAGGTACCAGGAAGGCATTCAGTCACAAATTGCTTAACGGTACTTTCACCCAATCTGTTAATTCCAACATTAAAGATCCATCTTTTAGTTCAAATAACTTTTTCGTCAAGTTCCTTGTTTAAGAAGGTTGTCATTTGTGTTCACCAGGAAAAAAATAATGTTAAGACCATAAAGAGTGAAATGTTTTCACATCCTTTTATGGGGAGGATCAAGGAAAGAAAACTAGAACATCGGGAACTGAAATGGGTCGAGAGTAAAATGCAGCAAGAAGGAGGTGAATGGAACTCTGCAAACAGGGAAGAAAGGACAGAGGGAAAGAACTAGGACCAAAAGCAACCCCCCAAAACTGCCCTGGGACTGTTCTTAGAGGAAAGTTATGAGGGAAAATAAGCCTTCGTAAGGGTAAGGAAAGAAAGGACGGAAAGTGAGTTAGAAGTGTTGGTTTACATATAGAGAAGTGTACAAAAGGCAGAGGATATCAGAGCAGTGAGAAACGGCAAAGCACAGGAACTTGATGATGCAAAAGAAAAGCCAGGGTGAAACACAAAACTTCACCCAGTGAGACTAAAGGAGGCAGAAAAGAAATGGAATTCTCTGGAGGGCCCTGGAGGGGACCACGTCTGGGCGAGAGTAAACAAATTCGTAATGTTGGAGAACCAGCGGTCAAGCTGCGGAGGGAAGGAGGGAACAACAGAGAAGAGCAGAACGGAGAAATGTGAGCGATGCTGCGACTCAGCTTTCAAAATGGGCTAAAAGCCTAAGTTCAGGCCTTCTTTCTAAACATAGAAAAAGAAATAACCAGACCAAAGGCCACTGTCTTCTGAGAAAGAAATTGGGAACATTTATTTTAAATGTTTAATTTGCAATATACCCAATACTGGGATCGGGGTGCTTTCTGGTGGGAATGCCACCTCTCGTTCAGTAGGCAATCAGAGGGTCAAGTTCATGAAGAGACTCAAATGATTCTTGGAAGCTCTGTGCCTATGAGATGCCTCTACAGTGGCTACAATGTCCATTGACTATGTCTGTCTATATACGAGTACATTTGCTTTGAGAGATTGGGGTAGGGCTTACATGCTTTGGGGCTTTTCTAGCATTTCTCTTTAATCAGTTGTGCAAATCCTATTAAACCAAATTGCTTCTCAACAGCAAGAATCTTGTCCTCATTTAGGTAGTATTTCCGCAATGTGAAAGGAATCCAACCCTTACCAAGTTGAATTCTGTAACATATAACATCTAGGCTTTGAGAAAAACGAATAATGCATTTAAATCTCAAACCATCGAGTTAAAAGAAACCTTAGAACTAACATAAATTTAACCTTGTCATGTTAAAGATGGGGAAATTAAACCAGGGCCTAATGAGAGAACATGACTTAACTGAGGCTACCTGGTTACTGCTAGAGCCAGGATTAGAAAGCAGGTTGTCTGAATATTGTGTTTCTTTTACTCTTTTCTGTAAACCATCAGGTAAACTTTATACTTGTGTGTTAAAGTTCAGGTCTGAATTCCCTTCTTATGCCCCAAATCAGGCTACTCCAGAATCCATCTGCACAATGTAATCTCTACAGATTTTGGTAAGTGGTGAGGATGAAAGAAGTACCAACCACTCAAGGAAATTAGGAGCAATGATATGGTTTCACATTAAGTTGTCTAATTAACTTGTGGACGTGGGCTAACCCCCATACTACCATAAATGAGTGGGTAAATGAGACTTGCTAGCCCTACTTGCCGATTGAACAACTGCATGAAAAATTGAATAGTTTTATACCTGGTGTACTCCTCTCTCTTTAGCCTCGGTCTTGTATAACTCGGCTCTGGAGAATTTTCTACGACTACAAAAATTACCATAATTCTTCTCCTAAAAAGGACCTACCAGGCAAATGTTAGGACAACCCAGCAAAATAATTAATAAAAGTAAAGGGGACTATGTAGGTGAATGGGGGTTAATCTAGGAAACTCTTGAATGAAAAATAAAGTTCCATGGTTAGTTAAGGTAGACAGTGATAACTATGTCTTCCACCCTAAGATCTATCTCAAACAGATTCAGTAGTTAATTATTATTTTTAATAATTTTATTGAAGTTTATTTTCCCTTGAAATTGTATGTAGAATGTTTGTATCTAAGCCACATGGTATATCTACTAGGTCTATGATATGGGGAAACAGCAAAACCATGCAATGCTATAGACTATTTTAAGTACTGAAAAATGAGATAAATGGGTGAAAAATCAAGAAGTAGGGGCAAAAGCTAGACATTGCAATGGGACTGGTTTAAGAAATACTCATGTCTATGGGTTGGCTGACAATGGTTGGACAAGAAGTTCCCTCTTAGAGCAGTTCCCTCTCCCTCCCACCCACACATTCTTTCTTTCCTCTTCCTTGACATCACAGACCACTGGGTCTCTGCAAGTTCATATCATCACAGGGGGGAAGGCGGAAATAGCTGGAGCGACGGAGTCGCCTTGGGGGTAGACCAGCCATCTGACGGCAAAGTTCATCTAGAAGAGAAGCAGAGCATAATGGGATGAGGATGCAGGATGGTGGCAAGGGCTCGTGTCTTAAGGAAAGGGAAGACTGCAGGGTGGTGTAGTGAAAAGGTTGAAGAGAAATAGATCAGGGTTAGAACCCCAGCTCTGCCACTTACTGGTTATTTACTCCCTACCAGAAAGTTTAACTTTTCTGAACCTCACTATCCCTTTCTGTAAAACAAGCATTAAAATACCCACCTCAACAAGGTAGTTGTCAGTATGAAAATGAAAAAAATGGATACAAAGGTACCTAGCACACTGGTGGTCGGTAAATTTTAGTTTCCTTTATACACCTTGCTCCCAATTCTTCTAATCGTGGACTTATTAAACAGCAAAAATATGAGGTCCAGTCATTCAATATACTTTTAAATGTTTACTATGTGACAATGGCTAACTTTAGCAAGTCCCCTGAGACACTTGAAAGTGCCTAGAGTCCCAAATACTCATCCTCAATGTCAAGGTGCTTCCCTTGCAGGTGGCTTGCATAGAACCAATTGGGGGCAAGCAGCAAGTTTCCTTCTGTGAAGTTAAGTACAGCTCTTACTCAGGGGCTCGGTGTAAGGCGGGCTGCTGAGTCAGAGTGGCTTTCGTGTGTGGTGCCTTTGCCGACCACAGCCATCGTTTGGGGCTGGCCAGGGGCAAGGTGACAAATATCTTTTTCCCACCATGCACAGTCTATAACCACACACTCTGGACCCTTGTAAAAGCTTTCTACCTTCCTCTACCTCTGACATTTCACAATAAGCAAGGTAAATGGTTCTTGGATTTGGTGGAATGTTTAAAAGGTAGCCAGTGTCTAGGAGTCCAGTTGATTTTTCACATATCCAAATGCTACTGCCTCCAAATCAGTGGCTTTCCCCGCCCCCCCCAGAGTTATGAACGTGGCTGCAGACTAGTAGAGACTGTTATTTTTAATGGCTGACTTGGCCTTCCATCTAGAAGTCTGGTGAATGATCTTCAAAGCAACCAGAGCATCTGAAATTTCTATCTCTATGTAAGAGAAGTTAGGGGTTACTGTCTAGTTGGAAAGAGATCTGGGGAGGGGTGCTTTTCTTAGGGTTATGTATATAGTAAGCATACTGCTTTCCTTAGATTGTTTATTTGGGGTAACGTGTTAGAACGGCAGCTATCGTACGTCAGGGAGTAGCCTAAAGCCCTCCTGCAAAGCCAGACCTTGGATCTGTTAGCGTCTTGTGCCTAGTTATCACTCTCACTACCGTCCCTCCCCACTAAAAAGCCAGTCTTACCTTTCATAACTTCATGCTCTTTACAGACAAGACGGGAGCAGACCTCATTGTTGATGATGTACATACGCCGTAAACTGCCACCGGTGCAAATGTCACGGTGCAGGAAGGAGATAGAAAAAGCATTGAGAGGGAGAACTAGCCTCGGCCTGCGATGCCTCAACTCCTGTATTTCCCACTCTTCCCTACCTGTTCTCCCCTTGTCTGGATTTCCTTAAGTGTTTCAGACTTCCACACACTCCCCGCCCCACCCCACCTCCCCAAGTAGTGTAGGAGACGGAATGGGATCAGTCACTCTTCTTGGTGACACTTTGCACACTCCACCTAGACTCAAGCTTCATACTTCTCCCCACCATTCCCTACTGTTTTCTACCTTCACACTTGGATGTTTAGCTCCAGCCTTTTTCAGTGAGGTGGTAAATTTGATAGACTGGAGTTTCCCTCATGATGATCCTACCTCCAGCCCCCACCTTCCTTTGCCTTCTAGCGTCTACACTTGTTAGTCAAACTGTTCTCTGTGTGCCTCAATCCATACTCCACGTGCTCATTGGCACCTTCAGGAGTAGCTAAGAGGGTTATGCTAAGAAACGTCTGCCCCTCCAAAGACTGAAATTCCACAGTGGATGCTCATTAAATAGTTACTGACATGAAAGCACTATCATGGACGATGCTCTCTAGGTGTTCTGGGACCTTTACCTGGTAAAGCATAATTGATGGATGCACTGCTTCACTGGCCGATGCACAGAGTAGAGTCTTGTGCAGGCAAATTTCTCATCCCGGCACTCTGAAGAGGCCCAACATAAAAAACACGGGGAGGCATAACAAACAGGCATGAACAAAGTGTTAAGGGGATGGAGGAGGGGAGAGAGAGCTGGGGAAAACCTACAAAGTAATCTCTACAGGGGATCACTGTAAGTTGGGGCATGTTCTTCCTGTCACCAAAACAGAGCAATAATAGAAGTTGGCTAAAAAATGAAATTTAGGTGCTTCCCTACCTGGAAGGAAAGTGGGTTAAAATAGTCCCTGAGGTCTCTTCTAGGAAAAAAATCCTTCTAGGGTTATACAGGTGGCAACATGAAATATCAAATGCTAGCAGTCCCATTCTGAAGAATTTGAATTCTAAGGTGGGTCACTATTTCTCTGTTTTGGTGGGTTTTCAACCCTATCTGCACATCAGAATTATCAGTACATTAGAGAAAGCATGACATCTACAGTCATATGGAGTCCTTGCAGTCACTTCCCAACCCACTAACCAACAGAGAGTGTCCAAAGGTAGTTTAGGGAGAGGACTGGTCTGGGACCATGCAACGGTGGTCCCATGTTTTTCCCATGACTTTTAGAACAGGAGCTCGTAAAACAGTGAGGTGGGGTGGGAGGATAATGAAGAGTATTACAAATACGCTTTGAGAAAGAATTGGAAATAAACTAGAAGGTGTACCAAGTATCCTCCAAGGAATTCTCAGGAAGGAAAAAAAAAAGCTTAAAAAAAGACATGCAAAAGACATTCATACCTGTGGTGGTATTTTTATCGGGTGAGGCTAGAAGGCAAAAATTTTATTCAGTTATTACTGCTTCTAGAAGTCACTGCCCTGTAACTGTCATGTTGCCTTACTTGAGACCCACGTGGGGCACCCATAAATAGATGAATTAATAACTCTTTTTTAGCCACTTCTAAAAGAAAACCCATAATGGGGTGTTTTGATCCACAAAATTGAAGAGACTTAACATGATTTTAAATGATTTTTGTCTTTCTCCTTTCTCTCCTAGAGAGCTGAGAAACTCATTGTATTGAGAATATCTTTGTTTCTATCGAGGCAAATTTAGCAGAAACACAAGGCAACTAGCCATGCTCAGAAGAG